CAATTGCTGCTGCTGCCGCTTATCCGTTCAGTAATATTTACTTGTCTCTAGCGTTGTTTGTTGATGCTTTCTTTGAAAATAACTTAACTTAACCACAGTAACTCTACCTATGCCACGAACCATATCAGCTACGAGCACACTGCCATCAGCACACTAGATGAACAATTTTGTCATTTTGCAGCAGCTTACACACACAACAGTCTTATTCAATTCACTTATCGATTGTCTGCGCTTGTCGAGATACAGATTGATGATAGACGACACGTTCTTTCTTATTATTATTATTACTATTACTATTATTATTACAGTTATAATCGCAGGTGATTACTGCTTTCAGTGTGTGCGTTCACGGTCATCCCAAACCAGACCAACACCAGCAGCACAACCAATAATAGCAATTCTACCAAGTTGTCAACACCAAAGTTGTCAACGAGTGCTAGAGCAAAACAAACCAACCCTTTATCATCACCATCCTTGTGTCCATCGAGCAGTACGGGTTCGTCGTCGTTGATAACTAGTGCACGTTCAGAAGGAGCACAGCTGCTAACATCCACTATTAAAGCCACCAGTAACATCTTATTCACTGCAGCAGCCGTACCTCTGGCCAGTGCAAGCGAAGCACCACCTCAGCGAATAAACAGCAGCAGCAACACTGCTACTGCCAACGACAACACCAGTACCACGTATTCGGCCAAAAAATTGATCATGTCCTCAGTACAAACTGAAAAACAAGTTCAGGCACAATCCAATAGTGAAGAGAAGCCGATCTCTTTGGTTGGTAGTCTAAGGAGTCGAGCCAATACAGCCAAGCCAGTGGTAACGCTGCACAATACGGTTAAACCGATCGGGTTGAGCTTGAACGATAACGACAGCTTGAAGACGCCCACAGTGCTGGGCACTACTGATGTGACGTTGAGAACGCCGACCATTCTCGGCTCACCCACCAAAGGACCGCTGTCCGCCGTCGGTCATTCAGATGAGTTGACAACACCAAGACTCAGCCTGAGTGCCTACTCAACACCGAACACACAAGCTCAAGCCTTTTTCGGTGAACACGAACCCTTACTGACAGGTTATTATCATTATCATTATCACTTCATTATTCTAATTACTTTTATGTGCATTATCATTTGAACGTTTCAAAACCGTGAATAAATGTCGTCAGCAATTGAATAATATCCCAAAATCTTACGTTTCAGGCACAACGTTGAGTAATAACTGCTCATCCTCAAGCGGAACAGCATTGAATACACACACCGAAAATAAAGACTCCAAAACGACCATCACCATTAAAGGCAATATAAGTACGAGCATAAGTACGTTCGGCACGCAGAACGTTAATTCACCAGGTAATCCATCCACCTAAATCATTCATCTTAGAGGGATTAAGCTTAAAGAGTCACTTACACTTGCAACTTAAAACATATCAACGCTTTCCATTGAGAATTGAGTCGTAAGAAAAGAAGGACAGAGTTGGTTGTTCATTCAGTTTATCGCATCTCACTCCAACAGATCACTTAATCAAGTTGAATCTCATCAGTGTATCCGCGCTTAACGCTTAATCCTAAGCCTTTTCCGAGCTTATCTAGCTGCTTCAATGGCAATCACCTGCCCTATATCAAATGCCAATTGTCAATATTCATCCCACTATGAGACAAAATACTGAAGAAGACACTTCAGTGTGTATACTCTATGCGTGTCGTATTATACTTCAGTAGTGAGATCTGATCAAGTAATCAATTGTTCACAACGATGCAGTTCACTAATAAAAAAATTATGTTGCAGGTTTAAGTGCTACAATGTTTCAGTTCTCGCCGCTTGTTGAGCACTTTCTTCAGTCCATCACTAAAACCCAACAGACCAACTCCAATTTACCGTTACTCGTTCTCGACTCGAACGCCAAAACACCGAGCGCTACCGATACTCCGGATCTGTTCAAGGTATGTGCTGCTTTGTCGTTCGTTTATTTGACGTTCACGTTATTTGACGTTTCGTAGAATGAGCAAGTTATCTATCTATCTCAAGACAGCGACTCTATTGATGAGAGGCTAATGACTGCTGCATTCAGGTGCTACAAGACAAGAAGGATGTGACCCCGATTCCTCACCACCATCACACACAACCGTCCACATCTCAGCCTTCCATGTCCTCTCAACAGCAATCACCCCAGTTGGCCACTGACTACCTTCAAGTAAATCTCAAGCTTCTTCTGCACACCTGTTCTGCTCATTACAAATACGAATACAAATCCAAACCGTTGGCCTNTGATTGATATGTGCCAAAAATGTTACACTTCAGTCGAATATAAAGCATTATCATTGTTTCTGTAAAGTTGCCATGCAAAGCTATTCTGTCAAGGTATGCATGCCTCGGCTAACATGCTAACAAACACCACTATTATCATGTAATCATCTATTACAACTCACTAATCAATCGTTTACAGCTGAATCGCACCACTAATGACTCAACAACGCGTTCCAATAATCCCACTGCACCCGGTCCATCCGGAGTGCTCGCCCAGAACGGCTTCACAACGGCCACAGCCACTGCTAGTGCCACTTCATGCCAGGTGCAAGGCGGCCTACAGTACGCTCCTCAAAACACAAACGCAGCCCCACGCCCCGGTACCTCAACCAATCCTCTGAATCTGTCCAATAATCCGACTCAAGTTCATAAATTCCAGGTAGGTTCTCAATTTCATTTCATTCTCACAACACCACTTGTTCATCATCGATAACCCTAACGTCTAAACATCTAAACAGATTCAACATCCTCCTGGATCACACCAACACCATCACCATCCTCAAGCACACGTCAGGTCCGCTAGTGGTTCTGCTGCTGCCTCGAGCACTTCGAGCGGCAACACAGCAGTACTCCAACTTCGACACACATGTTCTGTATCGGCCACAACCAGCGGCACCAACAACAACCTACATCAGCAACACAACAACGACAACAATAACACCAATAATAACTATAACAACTATACCAGCAGCAGTAATCCGTCGACCACTCAGTCGCAATCTGTTGTCTCCACTGTGGCCCAGCAGCAGCAGCAGCAGGTCAGATCGTGTCCTCATGTGGCCATCGCCTCTTCTTCGGATACAACTACAACACGACAAACTCAACCTAGCAACACAAACACACAACAGCAACAGTCTGCAACTGCTACGTTCAGGTAGTTAGTTAGTTCTCTGTAATTCTCTCAGCACAACAGCATTCCTCTCAAGAGCATTCTATCCCGTTTTCAGAGGCGATTTCCAGCCCAAAATTGAGCCTATTGATGACTATTATCAGTCAGCGTTGTCGTTCGCTCAACCCACTTCGATGTTTCAACCAGGTTAATTAATTACTCATTTTGTTTCGTATTATTCATTGCTCTCACAACAACTCATACAGTGAAATTAATCTGCATCAAAGAAAGATAAATGAATAACAACTCTCTACCTGTATGTCGAGCCATCGTTTCAGACTCGTTTCATGAACAGTTCGACAGCTTCTCGTCGTCGTCGATCAACAGCACTGCTGCTGCTTCGAAAGG